TATATATATATATATGTAATATTAACATGTTAATATTATGCAAATTATATATATAATTTGAGCAACTTAACTATAATTTGTCCAATCTCTCCCCACAAAGATCTAGAGCACTGTGAACCAGGCTGGGAAAAGTTCCAAGGGTTTTGTTACAAACATTTTACGAAACGGCAGAAATGGGAGGTGGCAGAGCAGCACTGTCGCATGTGCGGAGGTCACCTGGTCTCTGTTATGTCACCTGAGGAACAGGCGTTTATCAATGGTACGTCTGAACAACTGCTTGTAGAGTTGGCCCTTTTCTGTTGATCTAATTTTGACTTCTTATCGTATGTTAAAAATTTTGATGGAACCTGATTTGAACCTGATGGAATGTGTTTAAGAAGGTGTCATAAGACAGGCTGTCAGTCTTTGCAAGTGGCTTTTATTTTTCAGAAACTCAGTAGGTGGCGGAAAAGTGAGTGACTTGATGAGTGAATTATCATTTGTTCAACCAATTCTTTTGATTCACTCAGGAACAAACCAAGTGAAGTCTTTATTCTTTATACGAGTCGTTGAATTATTTACTCAACCGATTTATCCACCTTATTTTTCAACCTGGAAGTAAGCCATTTTCTGTGAATGTGTGAGACTTAGCCGCAGTAGGGAAACAACGAGAAGAATAACAAAGTGCAGTAAACAGTAAAACTGTTTGCACTACAAACCATTGTGTTCATAATTAAGATAATACATTAAAATAATAAGGTAAGACACATCAGTTTGCCATATCAAGCAGCAAAACGAGTTATTTTGTACAGTTAAAAATAGCAGGAAGCGAATGACACCGGAAGCCAGACATGGCCGCGCCCGCTCTTACGGGAAAAATAAGGTGGATAAAAAAACACTGATTTATTCAGGAAAAAACTCCCATTATGGTACAACACCTGAATATGTGGACATAAAATGGATCTTTTAAAACAAGCACACGGCATTCTTTCACTCTCCTGTTTATCATGTCATACCTTCGTTTATCCTCCTTAAAAATGTCCATCGATCAGCTCTACAAAGTTCTTTATATAACAGAAATGTTATATAAAAAAATGGTCTCACTTAACTTTTTTAAAATGGTACTTCCAATGGTACACCAAACATTTATAACAGGTTACTTAAATTAGACTAAAAGGTTATTAATGTTTGTTTTCTTCACTCAGCTCTTTTATTTGACGTTTTTCTCTCTGTAGACCTTGTTGACACTGAATTACATTTTGTAATTCTAAGATACCGTAAAAGCACACTTGATAAAATGCAACTTCCAAACAAAGCTTGTAACCGTTTGGACCAGACACCTGTTTTTTTTTTTTTATATAAATTATGAGATAAACCTATGAACAAATGCACTCTAACATCAGCTGGTCTGAATCATTTTGTTTTACATTGTTGCCCTGTAGTGACTAATTATGTCCTCGTCAGCAGTAGTTATCCATTCTTAAACATTCAGTGTCCTGTGTTTTTCCTCATTTAGAGATGCCAACCAGACTCAACTTGAGATCAAGAACTCTTAGGCTAACAATGACACAACTTTGTCATAAACTAACAGGAATTCCTTAATAAACAAAACAGCAATATTCTTGTGCTTGTTGTTGGCTTTAAAGTACTCTGGGAAAAAAAGTTTAAAAAAAATCTGCAACCTTTGTAAACTCAATCAAGTCAGTTGAGGCATATCAACCCATCCTTTGTGTTGATGTTGGGTCAGCAAAGCTTTATGAAGCAGGGAAGATTCCTTATGCACTCCACAAATGTTTGTGATTTCTAGACCCATGTTGAGTCTTTTTATGGAAAGACAGTTGGTCATTCTGTGACTTGGTGCTCAGTTTTTCAGGTCTGTATTGTACTCTGGAGGATGGCCATTTTCAGTAGACTACTATCAAGTCTCATTTGATTCAGTGATGCATCACTAACGAAACCATATTTTAGTTTTCGATGGCCTGAAACCAGGGCGTATTTTATCACTCTAGAAACATGAAATGAATTACATTCCAAGCAATCAGAGCAATCACAATAAAAAAAGTTATCACAATAAGACATTTTTATGAATTTTCTTGCATATGTGAATATGTGTGTCTCACAATATGTGTGTATAAGTGTTATTAAGAATTAGTTTAACAAATATGTGGTTAATATTCTAACTAGCATTACTAGTAGTGCGCCTGTGATTTGTGAGGCACTTTGAAAAGAATATTTTATGGGAATTTGTCTTGTAAGTTGATTACTGTTTTCTGTAGTTTTGAAACACTGCGCATGTGTATGTATATAACTTATATATATATATATATATATCTTATACTGCAAGTGACACTTTAGGATTGTCACCAAAAAAAAAGTATGTAAATACAGATTTCATATTTTCATTGGTAATTTTATTCACTCATTTTACAATCTTACTATTTTGTTCATTGACGGTGTTAAAATAAATAAATAAACATCCAACTATAAGGCACCATGCAGCATATGGTGCTAAACAATGTAACATTTAAGATAATGTGATCTCTTTGGACAAATTTATGGAAAAATGCAGCCTTACGTTCACCTCTCTTTTTAAAAAATAAAGCTCATGGGGAATCTACATAGGCATGTTGTTACAAATACAGTGACTGAATAATTGTTAGACTTGGTTTAGGCTACATATTGTTCTTGTTGATATACAGTCAAAGCTATTGAGTTAGCATTTCAAGCTAGCAGCTATTCAAGCAGGAGTAAAGCCTTTGTGTCAATCCACTCTTGATTGGTGTTTTCCCAGAAGGACCCAACATGTTCTGCTTTAAAACAGGTTTAGTGAATTAACTGATATATAATCCAGACAGATGTGAATGCTAGCTGTAATCCAGAATGCTAACTGTATAGCTCATACATTCCCTTTCCTGCAGCTCTACACTACAGGGAGCCTCTAGTGGTGCGGATACGTTCTGCACCTCTTTAGGGACTTCACCTCTAGGCCAGTGTGCCATGTAAGTGCAGACTTCCTGTAGCAGAAATGTACCAGGCAGCAAAACATGGAGCAGTTACCTGTAGCAATAAGCCCCATAAAGCCACAAACTTTTGCTGGGATACCCAAAGCTACGAACCCCCGGTTCTGCAATCCCTCCACAGCGCTCCCTCGGGTGGATGATGGGGAATCGTACACTGCCATCCTGCAGCCAGCCTCCATCACAGTGGTCAAGCTGCTGAAACTTCCAAGATGAGTAGATCTGACCAACCTTCGCTAGACTGGCACCATCCCGTCTGCAGACACGCTCAGCCTCGGCAAAATTGAAAGGCCCCGCAATGAAGAACACAGAGCCTGGAAATGCAAAAAAGTGAAGTATTTCTAAGTGCAGCATAGAAATAATAACTGTATGTATAATAATTACGTTTAGTGAACAACTGTGATCTGCATAACAAACTGCACTGTTTTCTGGGTGGAATTCCTGTATCTCTGTTATTGACATTCAATTCTCCAGTCTCATCTCCATATTCAACAGTTTCATGTAGGCATAATGGGAGCTCAAATGTCACTCTACTCTTTGTCTTTCCTAAATACAAAAACAACAGAGCTGATTGGGTGTGTCACTTCTAGTCTATTGGGGGAACAAACAGTGACTGTGGTTCTAATGGCCTTTTGTTTTAAACAGAAACAGTTTAGTAGGGAAGATGCCTCCTAACAATCTGTATCAGTTTACCTATATACCATTGTAACAATTATTGTTTAAGGAAAGGCTCACCATGGATCTAGACACACGGAAGTTTGGGAAGACGATAATATACACTACTATTCAAAAGTTTGGGGTTTTATCTATTTATTTTTTAAAGAAGTCTCCTATGATCACCATGGCTGCATTTATTTGATCAAAAATACAATAAAAATAGTAACATTGTGAAATAATATTGCATTTTAAAATAACTATTTTCTATTTTAACATATTTTGCTGAATTTTCAGCATCGTTACTCCAGTCTTCAGTGTCACAAGATCCTTCAGAAATCATTTGGTGCTCAAAAAACATTTTTTTATTATTATCAGGTGTGCTGCTTAATATTTTAGTGGGGCTCGTGATCTTTTTTAACATTATAAATGTTTTACAGTCATGTTTGATTAATTTAATGCATCCCTGTTAACCAAAAGTATAAATTTTTCTAAAAAAAAACAAAACCTTACTAACCCTAAACTTCAGAATAGTATTTTATAAACAATTTAACATACAGAATGTGGGAAAATCTCTGTCCTAACATTACTAACAGTTTTTGTAATATGTGTGAAATATATATATATATATATATATATATATTTTTTTATTTTTTTTTATTTATTTTTTTTTTGTCATCATCTGAAACCCATTCTAATCTCCATAATAGCAGAATCCCCATTCACTGACCCTTAGTGGCTGAGGTGAAGCAGAAAGCATCGTAGTGGTCCTGTGTTTTGTGACGGGGCCCGTAACTTCGGATGCCTGATAAAAGATCCCCTCCACAAGCTGGCCGTGGTTGCAGGACTGGGTAATTGACAGTTCCATCGCTCAGCCATCCAGCATTGCACCAGTCCAACCGTTCAGTCCAGGCTGTAAATATCGATTATTCATAAGAGTATCACTGTCTGAATTAATATAGGTAAGCACCAAACACATAACAGTCTTTGGGAATTTAAATAAACTTTAGCCAATATTGCTCAAAGGTTTATGTTAAAGTAAACAATCTAGGTGTGTAAATATTATTATTACCCCTGTAAAGCTGCTTGTAAGTGGCAAGTGTTGCATCCTGTTTAGCACAAGCTTCTTTAGCATCAAAGAATGTAAATCTGTAACGACCATGGTGGCTCTGATAAGGAAATACAACACCTGAAATACATGGCCAATTATAATTAATATATTAAAATGTATATATTTAATATACGTAAAATACTGTCAGCCTGTCCTACCTTCAATCCTCAGAGTAATAACGACACTTTCATCCTCAATTCCGTTGATCATTTCACAGCGGTAGCTGCCGTCATCTTCCAGCTCCAGGTCAGTTAGACGGAGAGAAACATCCAGGTTATGTGCACGCAGGAGAGCCATACTGCTTATCCGAGCCGGGGCCCGACTGAGCCATACTGCTTATCCGCGTGTCCGTTTGTTATAAGCACTATGTTTTCCACTCCTTGACTTGGAGGTTCGATTTTGGTCCACTTTACTCTGTAGTGCGATGGTTTGAACCTCATCACACAGGGCAAAACGACTGCGTTTCCACGGCGAGCAGTGACCTCAGCATATACCAGAGGTTCCAAGAGGTATTTTAGCTCTTTGTCCTTGTCTAGAAAAAAAAGGTGTTGTTAAAGCATTGTGTAATTTAATATTATGTGTTAAAATATCTTGTAAAGGCTTTCAAATCATGTTTATACTGTATTATAATCACAAAGTCTCTCATATCAACTAAAGTTTTTAAATGATATTACCTTGTTTATGGTGGTGGTATTTTGCAGAGGTCCAAGAGAAGAAACTGGCTGAAGTCACTAACACAGCAATAAAGTTCATTGTGGATTTCACCATTTCCCTAAACAACATAATAATTTTATTTATTTATTTTATTTATTTGTTTATTTGATATTTGATTCAAACAGAAAGCTGTGAGGAAAGAAAAAAAAAAGTCTCACCTTAGTCTTCAGCCTCTTTTCCTTAATTTAAAAAGGACATCCAGAAAAAGTCCATGACAGTAATCTTCTTTCTTCTGCTCTAGTTGCAGTGGAGAAACACACCGATCAGGGTCATCTGACAAGTGTTCTCCTCTGCTCCAGATGTTAATGAGTATCACACTGACTCTCATTGTTTCTTTCAGCGACTCTCTGACAGACAGACCAGGAACGCTTGAAACCAGGAAACCTCAGATGATGGAGGCAACTTCACATTTTTGCGGTAGTCATAAAAGGTGCTGAGGTTAAAAATGTCATTTTCAAGCCCACACAGTATGTTTTTGTTGAGAAAGCAGAAGAATTAAGATGCTCATTAGGTGATTAAGCATGTTGTCTGCCAGAAACCGGACAACGGATGTGCAGCAGCCGCCACTTTTTTGTACACTCAAGTGACACTTAAAAATGTTGAAAAATACAAAATATAAAACAAATGGTATCTACAAATCATTTTTTCTATCATTCCGTGTCATAGCAGAAAAAGTCACAGGTCTTCATTTCATCAACTATGAACATGATCCACTAATCTATGATAATGAGAAAGTGTCCAAATACTTTTTTTTGTCTCAATTTTGAACAAATAATTTTTTGTTAAATATTTTGTTGAAAAGTGTGTTTACAATATATAATACATTAGTTTTATATTTTATTTTTATATTCGTTTTTAATATTATGTGCATTTTATATTATTCATGTAATATACAGTATTTTATTTTACACAGAAATTTGATTTGTTTTTTACATTTTTTTATTTAATAGTTTTAATAAATTAAGAACAAAGAAAGTGACTTACCAGTCTTATTTCGGTATCACTGAGATACTGTTATAGGTTTTATTAATCATTTTTATGTTTTCATTTTAATTAAAGT